CGTCTTTTGACGATACAAACAGCTATCATCACTATGACAACGCCCAAGAACATAAGGGAACCAACCGTCGACCATAAAACTACTTGGGTCTTAGTGTTTGACGGACCCACTCTCGCACCTGGAAGATCTAGCAAACAAAACGAGGCATTAGTTTCTTTCTCAAAGTTTCATGAGGACAAACTTGTAAAATGTCCACATTGTTATGAAAGAGACACATTTTTTGTAGGCAAAAAAAATGCAAAATGTAAAAAGGAAGCGTTGGAGAAGCTATAGATTAACCTGAGTATTTGTCACAATTCTGTAAATACTCATAAAACGCCAGCAGCAAACAGTTTTTTGCTTATTTTGTGCCATCATTTCATAGAGTACACGTTTTGACCAATCATAGCGCATGATGCATTTATAATATTGACCAATGGAAGGGCGCAAAAAGACTAGAAAGTATAGTCGTTAACCAATCAGAGTGCGCGATTTTGACAACGCGGTAAGATGAAAAGCTACCTTGTTTGAGCATAAAGAAATGGCTTAACAATATAAAAGAAGCAGAGTGGACTACAAAACAAAAAGATCAAGGTTTCACTATACCTATGACGTAGAGAAAGGCTACAGCAGACTCAACAGACCCAAGCTTGTTTGTCGCTCTGCAAAGATACAGGCCCTGATCGGGACGTGACACTGACGATATCTTTAGCAATGAGCTCATTCCTTTGACCACTGTTATAGACACTCTACCGTCTGGCGTGACCAACTTGTTGTCTTTGTACCAYGTGATTTTAGGAGTTGGGATCCCTGTGGCGGTGCAGTTCAGTGTCACCTTTGTTTCTAAATGAACGGAAGTGTTCTTGGGATGGACATCAAAACGARGTTCTTTTGACTCTATAAAAAGTGAGCATAATATTACTCACATCGTGTAGGATTGTGGGTATCTCCGGTTTTCATGACCCAGAATGCTTTGCGCGAAATTCAAAATGGCGTCCATTTTGTGGGTAAAAGGTTGTGTGGGATATTTTTCGGACTTCTAAGTCAATATATAATTCCTCATACCTTGAATACGRACTAAAACAAGCGCCACAGTAGAGTTCACATTGCCGAGTGCATTGCTGGYGTAACAYTGATATTTCGCTTGGTCTGTTATCTCTGTTGACTTGATGTGCAAAGTTGACTTGTATCCATCTTGCTTGATTAATCCATTAAACGGTCGTTTGGGAATTATTGTCGACGAGATGTCGGGCGTTGTTGTCGTGGTTGTGGGTTTTATCGTCGCAGTGTCAAGTGGTAACGTAGCAGTGTTAGGTATTGTCGTCGGAGTATCAGAAATTGTTGTCGGTTTATCGAGCTTGGTAGTCGGAGAAAGTGATATCTGTTGTGTTTTTGAAAAAAGGTTGATTGTTTGTGAAATGTTTGAGTTCTCAGATGATAATGATGATGGTGACGATGATAGTGATGATGATGATAATGATGATGGTGATGATGGTGATAATGATGATGATGATAATGATGATAGTGACGATGTTGAGGATGATAGACTTGTTTTAGTGGAAAGTGTGCTTGTGTTTTGCAATGACTGTAATGATAATGATAAGGATGATAATGATGATTGTGATGATGTAGTTGACAATTGTGTTGATTCTGCTGTTACTGATGATGACGGTGACGCTGATGGTGAGAATTGAAGTGTTGAGATGTTGGATGCTGGTGATGATGATGAAGCTGATTTGAATGTCGAGAATTCAAACGATGATGATGATGATGATGWTGCTGATACAAACGGTACGACRTTATTTTCTTTTAAGTCACGTGGTAGTGGAGCGTAAATTCCTGTTCCCAAATCTTCACCATTCCTCCTCCAGCCAATCAAAGGAAGAGGATAACCTGATGCCTGACACGTCAGAGTTAGCTTATCTTCCACTGTGACGTTTTGGTTGGACGGACCCTGGAGGAATCTTGGTGGCGTGAAAACTAGAAAACAAATTTCACGCTATTTAATCTTATTAAATCTTCCTGTAGTGGTTGTCATATACCACTTCTAATTAATTTTYATTATCGGCAAAACTAGTGCTTATCTCCTTGGAAAATTCAAATTCAGATCACGTATAACCATTCCCAAAATAAGCATAAATCTCCATAAATCCTTTTATCGTTAAAATCTGACGCCCCCCTCCCCTGCATGGTAGCTGTTCACCTGCTTGCCCTCCCCCCTACTCGGTACCTAAGGATACATCTTTACACGAACGAAGATTGCAACGTCTCAAGTCATGAAGATGGTAGGGACATTTTCCATCGCATAACTCGTCGAAAGTCTTTTCCCTGACACGACTCTGAGTTCCGTCAAGTCCGCACGACTGCGAACAAGGCCCCCAGTTTGTCCACTCTTTTATTTGGCAGTTCAGAGGGGTACATGGCGATGGTGATTTTCGTCGCCTTCTCCAAAGTAAACAAGACGTTTGCAATTGTTGGAAAACTACCAGAAAGAGGATAGTGTCGATGGTTTTCATCGCGCTTTTCGGTCACACCAGCACTAGGAACAGACTTATGTATTTTGCTCAAGTTGTGTTGTAGCTCTTGGCCTGTTGTTGTTGTTGTTGTTACGGTTTAATCTGGATTCATTGAAAACAAGTCGGCTTCCGTCCACGTCTTTGCCGGCTTTACTTTCAGTTCGCAACGAGGTTGACACCACCAAGGCAACTTTTTTTAATTTTGTCGCTAGCAATCGCTAGCTAAGGTTCTCGTAGTGTTATGTGACGAAGTTCACTGCATACAAGTCTTTTTATGTTTTGTTTTCTTGTAAAGACTACAAATTTAATCCAATGTCAGCCAATTGACGTTGTTCACGATGTCTTTATGGTCCACCTTTCGCAAGTGACTCTTCATCTACCACGTTATAACGTTTTATCGCCATTCACCAAGTGTTGTCTTTGCATTTCACTTAGTAAGATTTGATCACTTAACATTTCGCTTAACCTCGGGAGAGGTAGTTTGCTCTTTTCTTAAAAGGGCTAAAGTTCTAAAGGGCATMTAAAGTTTTCTATATTTCGCTCTGAATTTTATTAATCATAACACTGTTCTAAATTTAAGCTTTCATGATCCGTTTCTGCAATTTGGAGCTGAAAAATTAGAATAAACTCAGAGTATGATGTTTGTTTAGTAAATGGRACGACTTCGTACTGTTAGCTTAGAAAACCTCAATCTCTCAGAACCCTCAAYCATTTAATGACTTYTGGAAGCCAAAATTTACTTGCATTTGGACTTAATCTCCTTATTTTTATGAGTTACGATTTTCTACGAGTTCCAGMGATTGCAAGGAGCGTTGATTGTCAGTGAACCTGTAAGGAGCTTTGCTCCCGCACTCAACCGAGTCGACGAATGTAGATGATAGTTCTTTCAGRTTCCGTTAATTCACGTTAATTGGTGATTATCAAATAGAAAAACGATAAAYCTYTGAGAGACGTTTTGCTCTAWGATAAGAAAACAAGTCAACGCAGAGTAAAGTGCTAAAGGATGCAATGTGATATACCCGCCCTTCTGAGGAACACAACAAACTCATAATTACAGTCAGTTCTAATGTAGAATACCAACATAAAGTTATTTCTAGAAAAAACATTAAAAATTGTTATAAAGAAATCGATTTTATTAAATGTGGTCGTACCTTTTAGGTTCGATACCTGCATTAATTTATGCGTACCTTTTAGGGTCATTTTTCAATCCGTCCGTCGAGCATACCTATCAAATTTTATATGTGAGTCCTCCCCCCAGGTTTCTTGCTGGACTATTCATACAGCGCAACGCAGTTCACCCCTTCTAGGAYAYCTGTTCAGAGAAGGCTTAAGTCAGTGCTCACCTGTAACACTAGTTCCACTTGAGGCCACTTTCCCAAGGGAACTGTTCACTTGGCACCAATACCTCCCTTCGTCATCCGGGACAATCGAACGTAGCATCAGTGTTGACACTCCTCTGTACGACATGACGTTGTGACGTATCACCAGATCATCATTTTTGTACCACGTGATAACTGGTCGAGGAAGCTCAAATGATTTGCACGTAATGTTCAGGTCCAGACCCTCGCTTGTATTGATGAGGCGCGGTGGCTGTTCCGCCAAACTTGGAGGCTTTGGAACTAGAGCAATGAATTATGATCGAGTACATCATTAATAATGCTACTGGCCATTTTCAGAATGGAAAAGGGACTGGGA